CATATAAACTGCTCAGGTCAAGGTCAAAATCTATTGTTGCTCAAGTTTCTGTATTGAACACTTTCTTTATAAATATCAGCTTGTGTTGACTTCTAGTAAATGTATATTTTTAGTTAGGTATAATCAATTTGTTATTTTATACAAACTTCAACCAAGATTCTTTTTCCCACTTTTAAATGAAACCCTTGCAAGAAAAAAGCCTTAAATTGGCAAGAATTAAAAAAAATTATTCATGCACTATTGAAACATTTAAACATTGTGTGTTTAAACAAATTTGTTGTTTTTAATTTTTTATGTTATCAAGCTTTGACTAAATTGATGTTATTTGTTTTATATTTGCAGAAATTAATTTCTTTTTATAGACCATTTTCAACAAATGAAATAGTCATCAACATGAACACATGTTAACATTAAGTCTGTATTCAGGTTCTCTGATAAAGATTGAATTGAATCCCCAAATACGGCATAACATGCATGTGCTGGTGTGTGTGTGGAGGGGGGTAGCAGAACATAACCTTTTCTGAATGAAAAGGTTTGTTGCTGAACAAAAAAAAAAAAACATTCAAAGCATTTTGGGTTTGGGCTTTAATTTGCAAAAATAAAACCTTACCATTTTTTCCCCTCACAGATGTGACAACATAGTGTAAAAATGTTAAACATTACTTATATCTGAACTATTGTACTCATCTTCGTTATCACAAAGTTTTGGCCGTTGTGCCCTCTGGCCTTCCTCAGGGGTATATTTAAGGCCAGAGAGCACAATGTTTGAAATGTTGTGATAACAACAAAGATGAGGACAATAGTTTGAATATAAATAGTGTAAAAATAGGGATGAGTCTGCATCCCAGAAATTAAGACAGAAAATAGAAGTATTATTTTCATGGGTAGGATACAGCCTGATTAATGCACTCGTCTTTGTTCTGAAGAAGTCTGAAGGGCATAATGGCTGAAACATGATAGTATCTACAAAAACGAGGACATTTAGTCTGACTTTAAATAATGTTAACAAGTAATACTTAATAATGAAGTCAACATGAAGAGTCCAATTAAGAGTACAATAAACAAAAAAATGGTACATTAGTCAAGTATGAAATAGTCATTGTATGTAAGTAAGTAGCCTTTGTTAACAACATACAATCTCATTTTTAAAATGAAAAAACAAAAATGTCTAAAATCATTTTAGATAATTCTCTTAAACAAAATAATCTGTTTAGCAGCCATTGTAGTTAAGTGCTTGATGTAAAGCATTTCCAAGTTGTAGACAAATTGTGTAATCAATTTTCTACTTCTTGATTTACTTTTTGTTGCTCATACATAAGTTAACTAGTTCCAATAACTGATCACAAACTAAGTAAAATAAAGTTGGTATCAACCACACGTCATGGAAAAATAAATTGCATTTTTATTACAAAAATTAAACATTGGGTTAAATGACTTTTACCCATTTCAGTAAGTTAGAGAAAATGGGTTTCAATTTACTTTTGACCCCAATTGTTAGTTTAAAATTGGTCTTTCTTTACTATCAATGGTGCATAATTAAAGAATAAAAAAAAAACAAACCCAAAAGTTAATATTTTCAAAACGAATGGAAGACAAATGGATTAAACTTCACGGTAAATACTATGTCATCATAAAAAAATGGTATTTATTCCCTGTTCAGGAATTCAATTATTTAATTGGAGAATAAAAGTCAAAAACATTAAGATCGGAAACTACCACTACCAGATTTGACAATTTCATAGTCTTCCTTCCGTCAACGATGTCATAAAAAAAAAGAAAGAAACATGTTTTAATTTTTGCAGTATTAATTTTAAAAATGACATAAATTGAACTTTGAAGTAAGCATAAAAATTGCTTGTATTTTTAAGAGCTAATCCTAATCCGTTTTTGTTTTTTCTACCCTTCAAAATAAGCAATTGAGCTCTTTATTTTTATATTCTCAACAATGTAAGACAAAAAAAAAAAAAAAAAGAAAAGAAAAATATATGAGAAGGACGTTAAATAATATAATTGAATCTAAAATACTCATGGAAAAAACCAGCTGGTGTATTCGATACACTACCGAAAACTTTTGTTACTAACCGGATGGAGTGAGGAAAGTGAAGGAATCTACTAAATCATATTTGCCACACCCCGGGTAGCAACCACAAGTAACTATGGGGTATAATTGTAGCTCATTTGGCAAGAACGTTTGTTTCTTTTTAACCAGATGGTTCTGTCTCTTAAGTTACTGAAGACACCTACCATTGGCAGCGCCTCAACATATTGTATTTTTGTAAAATCAGCGGCTTCCAAATTGGATAAATTATTAAATTATAATGATCTATTTTGAAGAATGCCATAAAAGAAAAGAAAGATGGTGTGCTGTCATTTAACATAACAACATACAAAAAACAAACGTTTGGAGAAAAGAAATAATAATTCACCAAGGCTAAAGGCTTCTGAAATATGATCTTAGACTAAACTGGAATTTGAATAATAATATTATTAAAGTTTTTATACATTTATTGACCCAATTTTGAACAACGATTATTAGCAACGATCACAAAGTTGGGAAATAATGCGAACACAGATGTCTCTACTGATGTCATACAACCATCTTCATTTTTGGTCATTTTTATACTTTGTTTTTTTAAATGATAATAAATAAATGAATGACCGAGAAAAAAAGAAAAAAAAGAAGAAGAAAGATTGTCATAAATAGTTAACATTGGAATTAAGATCGAAAAATAACATAGTTGCATAAATTATAGCTGCAAGTGCGTACACACCCACTCGATGACTAGATCAACTTCCGGTAAATAATAAATCACATTATCATAGAGAGAGAAAAAGCAAATTTACCAGTTTAAAAAGTCTTTATTGTCATTGCTCGAAATATATATATATATTTTCGAAAAGTATCCTTTGATTTCTACTTTAATGCTAATTGTATCTGAAAGATTACACAAAAAACTGAAAGCGACGTAAACAAATAGCTTTTTTTTTGTGTGTGTGTGCATGAGGGGTGATGTAATAATATCAGTTCGGTGGTTGGCTATCCAGTTATTAATTAAGGAAATAGGTCGGTCATGTTTAATTGGAAATAAAATATTTTAGAAAATGATATTAGATATATTAATGAAAGAATTTCATAATTGTGATTTCTTTTTAAATGTTAAACCGAAAAATACTTTAAAAAAATCCAAACGTAGTCCCTTGATAAATTAAGTCAGCTCAGTTTTTTTTGTTATTTAATTTTTAAAATAACTTAACAACAATGAAAATACACAGATTCCGATTTGAATCGGATCTATTTCGTTTTCAAAGAAATGAATCTAACAAAAAAAATAAAATAAAAATAACTGAACAGAAAGAAAGACACTGACTGTGTAGTTGAGACAAGTGACCGCTGACGGTCATCTGTCCCTGTCTAAACTTAAGCTAAAATAAAATGTTTACCAACAAATGCTTTGCTTAGAGTACCTTATTATTTAAAAAAGAAATACTGAACTTTTTCAAATTAGTAACTTTTAGACATAGTATCCTGCAATGTGTCTCATTACACAATTTTTATTGAAGTTGAACTGAAACTATCAATTACTAGCTAGCGTAAAAAAAAACAAGGTGCCTTCTATTATTCGATTACTACTACTAGATGAGCTACGCTACTGCTTCTATGATTTCTGGTTTCTTTAATAAATCAATTGTGCTGATCGGGGTGGGGTTTACTACATTTTTACCCTTTCATAAAAAAGGGTTTCGCTGCGAAATATGAAATAAACATTACAGAAGTATTTATTTTTACAGAGAAGTGGGTTTTTTGTAGGTTTATTAAAAATTTTAATTTAAAATAAAAAAAAATGTAGAAGACAGCGTATGAAATTAGTGGGAACAACGTTTGAATGATTGTCTAGTAAAGTATAGTAGTCAGTATCCATCAGCTGAACGAACATGAATTAAAAATTACTACTATCAAGAAGAGAGAATGGCTCACAATTCTGACTGTTTCTTTTCTATGATTACCGATGTATTGAATTTAAAGTGACAACAATCGTAGGAATGGTTTGGTGGCTTTAAATTTGTTGTTTTTATTTTCAAACCATACGTTTTAAAGAGAACCAAACAACCACTTCTTCCTTTACACAAAAAAGGGATCAATACATGAAGCTGTGTCACATACATTATCCTTTTATTCATTCATAATAAGCATATATGTAGTTATGCTGCTGCACGATTCACAAAGCGCGTTGCATGCATTCGACAATAATGTCAATTTTGAATTTAATGACCCTACCCGACTTTTATTGTTTGTCATTTGATTTAAGATCAACTTGGGTATTTTATGTCAGCTTTTTATTTTTATTGTCAGAAAACAAAAAACTAAGTGATCATTTAAAAAACAAAATGAGGATCGCTAAAAAAAAAAATAAAAAAAAAAT